TTTTTGTTGACTCTGCAGCAATCCTCTGACTCCAAGCACGCACACAGAAATAATGGAGAAGAAAACTCACTTTTAACAGGAAGAGACTCTCTGCAGACCAAGACTCAGTGTGAGCGGTCTTGTCTATAGGCTGACTAGAGGTATAAGAAGTCAGAAGCAGACGTACAAAAGAAACACAGAAGCACTAATTTATCTTTGTTACAAAAGGTAAAAGTAAACCAGCTCCATGTGTGAGTCTTTCTAGGAAAGAAACAGTTAACAAGATTATCTCTATAGCAGTTTTCATGTCAAAGGGGATGAAAGAGGATATAATAAAGTTAATCAGAGTAAAAACTGAGTCCATAGCTAAGTTTAGGAGAGAGACAGGAAGAAGCACTGAAAACAGCCTCAAACCTATGTCTAATTGAAGTTCTTCATGGCAACAGCTGAGCTGAAAGTTTCTTTCAGATTGAGTTCACAGCTAAAATTAGCATTAGGCCAGATGAAGCTAAAATGACTAGAAAAAGCACAGGGGAGAGCACATAAACTTAGGGATTGAACTAACAGACAATGTAGAGATGTAAAATATATGAAGAATGATGAAAAATGTTCCCTATGTCCTCCAGTAGCCTAAGCCTATAGCAGCATAACAACATACAGTAAATAGCTCAGAACCTAAGACAATATAGCTAGTGCATAACCATAAGCTGAATTAAAAAGAAACATTTTAAACCTCATCTTAAAACTAGACAAGGTGTTTTCCAGCAAGCTGGTGAGACATTGTAGCTGCTCACAGCAATTTTTTTCTGCTTCTGAAAGAGCCAAGAGCAGAACAATGTAACCGCTTCCTCCCTGGAGACGCCAGCAATCTGTTAAGCAGGTTATGCAATGCAAAGGAAAGCAACCTTATTTCCCTTATCTACAAAGGGATTGTTCAAGCCGATCATCTGACCTTTTTTAGAAGGGCAAATGTCAATTTGGAACAGAAAGCAAAACTTATGTCTGTGGTACAGCAAAGCGTTAAGTTAAAAAAATAATTTTATGTAAAAGACTATTTTCAGCACTAGGAGACATTGCAGAAACAAAAGATAAAGCATGTGCACACACCACAATGCAGTTAAAAATACCTGAGGTTATAAAGGGTTTATCATCAGCAATCACCTCCTTAAAACACGTATACAGTCACACATTTCACTTCTGGGTATGACTTATTTAAATCACATGACTGTCAACTAAAATAATTTCAGTCCTTATTTTGATCTCATCGTCATGCTTCATGTTTCCTCTTTAGCATTTCTAAAGCAGGTTTCACTGTATCATTAGTGCTGTGTCACTCTCTAACATACAAATGCACTAAAATAACTGGGGCAATCTTACAAAACAAAGATTGTTTTCTTTTTAAATAAAAATTTGAAATATGTGGCATGCCATTTTTTAAGCCCTGTTTACTGTTTTAGCCCAGACCAGTTTTCTGTAGAGCTCATCTAACTACTACAGCTCCCTTGTATATGATAAATCCAGGTGTTCTTTGAAGAGATCAAACATTTATTAGGACAGATTTGACCGTACAGCATTATAAGGACAAAGTCATACGCCTAAGGTGTCAGGGTTAAAGTAAAGATTAAGTTTAATGTGGGAGGGGCAACAGAGGAGCCCCTCTACATTAAACCCTCTCCTTTTAACTGAAGTCAGCAGTTTGAACCTTTGTCTCATTAGGCAAGACACTTCACCTGCATTGCCTACTGATGGTGCACAGAGGGCCCAGTGGCACATGAGCATGGCAGCATCCCTTCTCCCTTCTATCACAGATGAAGCATGTCACCATTAGTGTGTAAATGTGTGAGCAGATCAGAGATCTGTACTCAAGTAGATTTTTCTGATATTTTTACTTTACTTTACTACTTATTTTTATGGCGACTTTTTACTTCTACTCCTTACATTTTTACACAAATATCTGTACTTTCTACTCCTTACATTTTAAAAAATTGGCTCGTTACTTTAGTTTTGAATCACTTCAATGGAGTTACCGTTATTATTTTTCACGTCATCAATACCAAATTCAATCTAATTGGATGGGAATCTACGTTGCATTTGACGCACCACTACAAGATGAATCGACAGATTCGGCGGTATTCATTCGCGGCAAATCATTGCAGCTTGGTGGCGGTGGCGTTAGCATAGTAGTATGGACGACGAGATGATTGAAAATGAACACAACGAAGATCTAGTCCTATTGACACACGTCCATTTAAAATGTAGGCAACGGCATAAAAAAGTGGTTTCTACTTTTACTTTTATACTTTAAGTAAATTTACAAGCCTGTACTTTGTTACTTTTACTTGAGTAAAGAAGTTTAATCAGTACTTCCACTTTTACCAGAGTATTTTTTAACACAAGTATCTGTACTTTTACTCAAGTACGGAAAGTGAGTACTTTTGCCATCTCTGGAGCAGATGAATGACTAAATGTAGTGTAAGGGCTGTGTAAGTCCCCTGATTTTAAAAGCTTACCATATAAGTACAGACCATTTACTGTTGACCATGTAATATAGGGCTAGGTCATCAAAACAAGTTCCTAAGCTTTACAAATCATACTGAGCGGCATTCATTTTATTAAACTGCATATTTCACAAACCTAATTACACAGCTGGGAACTGAAGAAGAGTAATTAAAGAAGCAGCCAGGAGGTCCAAAGTAGAATATGTCAACCTTTGGTCATTCTCTCCTTAAGTAATTGAGGTAACAGAAACAGAGAGGAAGCCCTGGTTAAAAGAAACGCTCACATTTCATTTTATCCAAAGCTAGGCCTTGTCTATATTAAGTGTGGTTTAGTTATATATGGAAAGCTACTTTTTGGATAGGGTGTTCTATCCAGACAAAACAGCTACAGATGTGACGAGATCTGAAACCTGTTCCCAGAATGGATAAGCTTGAATTCACAGTGCCATTACACCACTATCCACATAACTGACTACAAACTTTGCAAGTGGACATAGTAAACATGTAGAAGGAGGAGATCACAGGAAACCAAAATAAAACTATTTGAACCACCAGCATGAATACCTATGAATGTAAGGCTTTAAAAAAAAATTTTCTTTGTAAAAACTATTGAAAATATTCATCAAGCTCATCATAATGATGTGCATGTTGATCTAAACCTTGAATCCAAGATATGATATATTAGGAATTTGCATCAGACATTAATGTGATAAAGGTTTAAGGTTGATAAATAATTACATACTGCAGTCTGTTTAACATTCCTACTAATGAGGATAATTACTAGATTTAGTAAGTTATCCAGTGTTCAGAGAGCATGATCCATACAATGTGCTTAAAGGAAAAGTCCGCTCATATTCAGAATTCAAACTTCTGAATGTACTTTGAATATAAATTATTAGAAGTTGTTCAATAAATGATTAGTGTTTTTAATTAAGAGCAATTTCTATTTGATTGTGCTTTACTGGAGGCATTCATGTGTGTCAAAGAACACTACACAACACCTTTGTTTGTGATGTCACGGTGCGATATCGGCTGTTGAGCAAGTCCCAATGTTCTATCTGGTGTCTGTCACAACACGTCTTTTAAATGTTTGCTACATATTACGTGTTTTTCTCTGACCAGAAGTTTGATGGCAAATCCTCCCTCTTCAAGTTGTCAATCCAACGACGAACCCATCCATGGAGGATCATGAATTGGAAAGGTGAAATAACTACTTTTTTTCACTTTTACCTGATGTATTGAAATATCCAGCTGCCATGCGTGAGGCCGTTGTTACTTTAACAATAGCTCTTGTGAATTTCAATGGTGAAGTCCTCTAGAAATCTAAAATAATTGTTGTTGATTGCAGGTGTGTAAAGTAGTTCCCATTGATTTTGCTTGTAAAGTGGGGAGAATGACGCTGGGCTTACCGCACTGTAACTGGCCGCCCCCAGACTCGGTGATCCTGATAAAAATGATTTTATTTTTTTACTAATAACGTAAATGTATTAGTATTAGGTATATATAATGATCCAGTTATATTCCTTGCTGACTGGACTTTTCCTCTAAATTCATATTCCTAAAGCTTTTATGTGAGGAATCTAAATTGTTTTTTTGGTGTGCAAGCCAGATCCTTCACAAAAGAACCTGGGACTCACCACAAAAATACATGATAACCGGAAACATCTTGTCAGTATGCAGCTGGGTTATTTTCCACATGAAAAGTTTTTTTTCTAAATATATTGTGATCTTTATGTAGAAGTGGGCGGTTTCTCTTGTCATTTCCTGCCCCTTATATGTATCATATGTACAGTAGGTCCTTTACAGCCTCAGTAATGGCAGGAAACAGATCCTCAGTCTGATGTGTTAAAGACTAACAAGAAAGGTCGTTCAGTTAGAATGTGTGTTTTTAAAGTCAAAAAGCATTTTTCACAATGACATAAAATCACAGCCCCTGCATATAAAGAAACTAAAATTGCAGCCAAAAACAGGAAGAAGAACAAGCATCCATTTGTGTTCCCCTGCCTGTTTGTGAAGTGATTGATCGGCACATTTCCAGAAGTGAATAACATCCATTCCAGTTTATATTTAGAGTCAATGTGAAGTGGATTTGCAGGCCCTGACTCGCAAACCAGTAAAAGAATTTATAAAGCTTTTTTTTTTTTTTTTTAGGATATTTCCTTTGTTCCCTTCAGATGGGCTTTTTCTCCCCCAGAAGACTCTGTGTTCCACCCACCTACGAAGTCAAGGCTTCAAACACAAAGCAAACCACTGTCCTCTCCACTGTGAACAAAGCTCCTCTTCAATGAAGGTGCAGCACCAACACACAGCTCAGAACCCCTGGCCTCTCGGCTGTGGTTTCTATCACCTGACAAATGACATCAGTGTAATCGTTTCTCAGAATCCAAAAAGGAGAAAAAAAAATGCTTAGAGCCAATAAAAATTTCCCATGTACCGCTCTGTGCTAATTAACAGGAAGGATTGCACAATCCTGGAAAGCATGTGCTGCTGTTCAAGATAAGAAAAGAGAAAGCAGCACACACATTGAAAGAAAAGTGAAACGGTTTATTGGGAGGGACCATTTGGCAACTTCAATAACAAAATAGTTGAAGCTTTTCAGTTTTACAGTGAACAAAGCCAGACAAGATGGAAAAATAACACTGACAACAAATACAGCTTATAGATTCTGGTGCTAGTTTTTACATACTGTTACAATCAGAAATATTCAAACTCCAGACAGACTTAAAGGCTTATCCAAACAAAGTTTTCTGTGAAAAAAAAGGCTTTTAAATGACTTTTGAATGTGATGAGTGAATGATAAAAATCATCAACAAAAAGGCATGATTGATTACTGTTGTCTTACATAGGAAAGCAATGCCAGTTTTTAGCTCTGACTAGCTGATTTACAACCTATTCCTAAAGAAAATCCCTTTTCTTACTTCCACAGCTACAATGAAAAGTCAAGGTAACTGGGATAATCACAGAAAAAAAAAAGCATAAAAAAGAAAAATAATCTTCCATCACAGCCAAGGAATTTAGTTAAATAAGCTCCAAAGACTAACATCCCAAAATACCTATGGAAAATCTGCGGACATATCTAGCGATAGAACACAGGCCAAATTTGCATTACTATAGGACAGTATGTCTCTTCCCACTTGCAGGAAGCTGCAGTTTCCTCAGTGAAAGAATGGTTTATCCTAATAATAAATAATTTTTTACAGCAAAGCTGTTTTTGCATATTGCATTTTGGTTTTTAATGCATTAATACATGCAAACTTCTGTGCAGTTATTTTGAAATCATCCATCTCAGCTACACATTTATTTAGTTTTAATGAACTACGCTTTACAATTCTCTTAAATTTGCTTCATCTGTACAGTCTCTCTTACCCATTTTTTTATTTTTAATATTTTCTAACTTTGCATGCATCCACATGCCATCATTTGCCTTTCATTCTACTGTAAATACACCTCCCCACTGTTAGACAATAAAGTAGATTTCTGCTCCCTTCTCTTCTATCGATGTGGCTCACAATGTATGGGTTCATTCTGTAACAGTTGAGTTAGTGGTTTGAGTCCCAGCTCTGCCTATCTGTGTTCTTTTTGTCCTTGGGCAAAACACTTCACCCACCTTGCTGTTGGTGTTCACACTCCCTATTGTGATTTTGTGGAAGCCACACTTCTGTCAGCTGCTAAAGAACAGCTGTGGTCACAATGCAGCTTACCACAATTGAAGTGTGGAGAACAGATGCCATTGCACAATACCAAGACTAAAACTACAAGCAAAGTCAAAATAATAGAACTTGCAATGAGGAGAGTTCAATCAACTAATGACACCCTGAGACTAAAAAGACTATATGTATGCTCAGGTAAATGATCAAGCATGGAGGTGGGTGACTGATGATGGGGGGCTCTTTTTCAGCAACAGGAATTACATTCTTTATCATGTGCTAAGCATCATGAAGTTTTTTTACACACCTTGCCTTTGTAACAAGGTTCTTTACAAGGAAATTCATCATGGTCATTGGACTTTCCAGCAAGACATTGACCAGAAGCCCATTTACAGTATAAGTCAACCAAAACATGATCCAGAAAAATCCTGATGAGTAGTTAAGTAATTTACAGTCACAAGATGTACATCTGACTGATGATGTAAGGGTAATTAAAAACAAATAAGGCAAATTCCCTAATATAGAGACTTTCATTAATGAAGAACTGGTAAAGGTCAGAGATAAGAGGTGTAAGAAACTTGTTAGACTGTAGCCAAAATGTTTGCTGGAAGTTAGAAAGGCTAAAAGATCAATGGGAAGATATACAGCTAAAAAAACAAAAAGCATGTGTTAATAGTTACATTTTTTCTTTTGAACATTACAGTTAGGTTGAATATTTCTTATTGAAACTTTAGTTACTTTTATTTTAAGATTGTAAAATGACACTTCTGCATATTTGGTATATATTAAATAAAATATATTCCACTAATTTGAAATACAACGACAAAAAATATCATATAAAAAAGTAAATATGTTTGCATTCATAATAGAAAGCTTAAATTGTGAAACAAACATTTATGTAACAATGACCAGGCTCGGATTCTTGACTGTTACCCAATCTGGGTCTTTTCCCTTCTTGAAAGTTAACACGTGGACTAACAATCCCAAATAACTTCTTTTGCTTTGAAAAGTCCCTTTCCTTTGAAGAGCGTCTGTCAGGTGATGTCTGAGTCATACTGATGTATTCATGTCCATCTTACTTAAACAGGCTCTACTTGTTTTTCTGTGCTTGCCATCTGTTTCATCTCGTCCTCTGATTGACACAGGTCATGTGGTGCGCTCCCATCCATGCCAAGCTCCCACATTGAGCCCCTAAAATCCTTCCTATTGCATTTAAGAAGGCTGAATATTCCTGTACGGAAGTTTCTGCAAAGGAGAAAATACAAAAAGGGCCTGAGGCAAGCACTGACACAACCTACAGCTGATGTGACTTTCACAGCTGTTGTCAAAGAACTGAGGGGAAAACTGCGTAAATGGTTTTTTGACATGTAGTAGATGGCATCAATGAAGAGAGTGATGTTATATGGAATCCAACAGACTAGGAAAACTGTCACCAGAGACAGGAGGAGGACGACAGGTTGTTTCTTCTGCCGGTTGTTAGCTCTGCATCGTATCATGATGTTGGAGGAGCACACGACCAGGACGAGTGCGGGGAGCAAAACGCCAACTCCGAGGTGGAGAACGCGTGAAATCAGCTGCAGGTCCATTCCAGAGTCAGGTGGAGAGAGAGCGGAGAGGGCTTTCCCTGGCAGTGAAGCGATGACAGGCTTGAGGTAAAGACTGTCCAGGACGGTCAGGACAATAGAGACCAGCCACGCCGCCAGCCAGCCAAAAAATGCAAAGCTGGCTCTGTGGCAGGAAGCCCTGTCAGCATATATGGAGTATAGATAGAGATCCAGACAGGCGCAAACCAGCAGAAAGATCCCAACATATAAATTGATCTAGAAAAAGAAAAATATATTTAGGAAGAAATCTCTTAATAAATGATTCAAGTTTAGCAACAACATAGATGATATTATCTAAGCTGAGATAATGAATAGGTGGTTATAATATTTCTACATTTGAAAATTATTTCTGCAAGAGGCTGAAGGAAAACCATCAGAATGATTCAGATAATTTTGTCTGACAGATTTCAGTTTGTTCATGTGAAGGGAGGAGATATAAACATCTTGTTGACATAACCTTTAAGCCCATATTAAAATGATTTAGTACATCCTTCCTGCGCTTCCACAACATTGCCTTAATTAGAAATGTTCTGCCCCAATGTTCTGATGCACAAAATTTGTCTCTTTATTTGTTGTCTAGATTTTACTATTGTAATATTATTAGAAAACTAAAAAATAAAGAAACAAAAAAAAAGCTTAATTCTCCAACTTTAGCTTCTCTTTGTTGATTATCTAATAAATCCAAAATATAATCTGGGATTCCTCATCTTACAAATAAAGGTCAAGTGTAATTCCCACTGTAAAGGATATCTGACTGTTCCACGTGTTTCCAATATAAACAAAGCTTTGCTTTGAGACTGCAGGTTCACTGACTGTTTCAAAAGCTTCTTTAAAAAGGAGGCAGAAGTTTTAGTAAAACTTTACTTTTTAATAAAGCTAAAGGTTGGAGTGGCTGAGATTATACTGAGCTAACCTTGTAAATATGCTTTAATTTTTATGTAGCATATTAATACTCTACAAAATACATTTTTTTTATTCTAAATCCTAATAATACCTACCTTTATAGATTCATTCTTATGTTACAGTTCTATGTTTTGAAAGACAGAGCTGTTACCAAAGTTTACCAGGTTAGAGAAGAGCACGGATCTGAAGAAGAATCCATTTCTAACACTACAGGCTAAAATTCTGGATCTGGATCTAAGACACTAATCCCCAGATTGCTTTTAGGCTGCCGATTACTCTCTAATGGGGAGTTTGAATGCAGAAGACAAATTTCTTTGTACGGTACATTTGCAAAGTTGATTATTTGTATCCTTCTTCTTTCAAATACATATTTTTATTGGATATAATTTGGACCAGTTTGTCTTAAAAAGACAACATAACAGTGCCTGATCTATCAACTGTGTGAATAAAAATAATTTCCTTCACTTGCATCTCCCTCACCGGAAACCTAGGTACTATATTAAGGGCAGTTTGTGTTGCAAAAGCAAAGTCAAAATATAAAAAGCCGCTGCAGCCAAATTGTTCTTAATAAACAGACTTATCTTACATTAGCCTCATTTCAACAAAAAACATACCTTAAAAACAGCTACGCAGATCTTGAAGAAAGTCGGTGTGCACCATTCACAGCCCTTACTGGCATGTGCAGCGTAGAAGGGCAGGGTCACCAACAGCAGGATGTCCACCACACCTAGCTGGAGAATAAAGCTGTCCGATACCGTCCAGGATCGGCTCTTCTGACCCAGGACTGCCAGGAGAAGTCCATTCCCCAGCAGGCCAACAATCACAAAGACGGAGTACAGGAGTGGGATCCACACCGTATCATCTCCCTTTAATTCCTCCTCCCCTGGATAATCATAGTCCTCATAGTCATAGGTTTCATTCTTGTTAAAAAGCCCATCAAGAGTTAGGTTCATCGTAAGCTTCAGTGGAGACAGAAACAAGAAGGAAATCAGAAGTGATATGGCTTTTATACTCTCTGCATCAGTAGCTGCCTACAAGAGTAGAGCAATTTTAAAAATATACCTCTGGAAAACCCAGCTGACATTTTATTATCATGCTTAGACACAGAGCACGAGGTGCAATGTCACGATGATGCAAGCGTGAAGTTAGCAAAGTGGAAAAAACGCAAAACTAAAAAAACTTTCCCTCAGTTACAGTATACTTCCAATGAAGTATTTAAAGCCTATCAGCATTTGGTTTAGATTTAGTTTACCATTTCTATAGCAACAAGTCAGAGCTTGGTTTTCCCATTTGTTTTGGAGTTTAAAAAAACACTATTAAATGTCATTAATACATCCTCTCAAAACCAAGATCCTTTAAACACCTGCCTCCAATGACACCACAGAAAGTAATGATATATGTTTCTCCCAGTTTATTCTCATGTTTTTCAATATAAATCACCCCTTCAAAGGTGTTTACTGGTCATTTGTATTATTGTAAACACAGTGAAGGTGCAGGCAGCAACTTAAACACATGAGGTTTTCAGATTTGTTTTTCTTTACATTAATTTGTGGAGAAAGGCTGAATCCGAATTTAAATGCTTCGGAATCTCTGCAAAAATCTAGCAAAGTGCTGCTGGCAGCTGATCCACCTGATTCTAAATGACTCTGTGATATGAGGCTTTTTTTCTTTTTTCTTCTCTTTGTTTTTCAAAGTTTTTTAATCAGATCATGCAGTGGGGATCTATCCTCCATAACCCAGCTGTTAATGCGTAATAATATACAATTGTTCATGGGGGAAACAAAAAGTACTATTTTCTTTAAAAAGTCAATTTCCATCAGTAGGTTTCCAGTAGCCTTTATGACGATTTGCATAGAAAACATAAAGAAAAACACAATCGAAACCAAAGTTAAGCCTTTTATAAATAGCACAGATGTTTGAAAGTATAAATGCGATCACTTACCGACTTCTTCTGAATTTTCTGGCAGCAGTCTGCTGAGACTTCTCAGCGTTTTGAAACAAAAAACTCGGTGTCAATTCTCCAAAGAGCGTCAGACAGACTGTAAAAAAAACAAACGCGGTTCCTGCCTTACATCAGCTGTCAGACGCCTGTCAAACCCAGCTACTGAAATAAACAAACCTTCTCGTTTCCTCGGTTGAACCGGGTTGATCATTTGTATTTATTTAGAAACGAAACCATCTTTTAAGCGGGTTTTGGGGGGTTGGACCTGCAGAAACAAAGCAAAAATACAGCCCTAGCGAGATAGTAACATAAGAAAACGCGCACCTGCTGGAAGTTATGCGCATCTGAAGCGGATCATCCTCTAAAGTAAAATCACTGATAATGTTAAAATCAAACTTCAACTATTTTTTGCAACTTTATCACTTAGGATTATCGATCTCTTCAGAAACTAATAGCCTTTTTTTGTCCCCTGATGTAACAATTGCACGAGCTCAAAGCATTTTAATTATGTTGCTTTTCAAAATAAATTCTGCAATGACGTATAATCATCGAAACGCAACTATAAAACTAAGAAAATATACAAAAAGAACAAAAACGTATTTTTGTTTTATATAGAATCACTTTTTTTGTTTAAATGACACAGATAACATGAGATAGAATAAAACTTTTAAAGAATGATTGCATTATTCTGGAAATCAGCATCGTGCACTTCCGCATCGACGTGACATCATTCCCTCTGACTAACAGAGTGATACTGCAATAATTGCTATTTTCCACTAGGGGGAGCAATCGTCTTGGAAGAGACCCATAGACCTGTCAATATCAGGAAAATTTAGTGAGGCATAATCTATTAGGGCTTTACATAGAGAAGGACTAACTCTACTTTTTTTATTTTTGTGTTTTTTTTTTCTCTCTGATTGTCAGCTGCTTTTTTTCTAGGTACAAATGTGCTATTTTTTTGTCTAGACATGAATTAAAATGTAAAAAATATGACAAACTGTGTTTATCTTGTTTGTTTTAGTTCCCATGTTGGAACATGGTAGCTATGTGATAATAGCTGATACTATCTGTATGCTTTTTATGCTTTGCATACCAAATTCCCATACAGCCCTGCATTGGAATTCCTCTAGAACAGTGGTGTCAAAAGTACACACATTTGTTACTTAAGTAGAAGTATAGATACTGCAGTTTAAAAACACTCTGGTACAAGTTCAATTCAATTCAGTTTATTTATATAGCGCCAAATTCACAACACATGTCATCTCAAGGCACTTTACAGTTCAACCAGATCAAATTGATACAAAGTTTTCTATCTAAGGAAAACCAGTTGATTGCATTGACTCATTGACTCAAATACAATCCCCCAAACTAAGCATGCTTGTAGCGACAGTGGAGAGGAAAAACTCCCTTTTAACAGGAAGAAACCTCCAGCAGAACCAGGCTCAGTGTGAGCGGCCATCTGCCGAGGCCGACTGGGGTTCAAGGAGACAGAAGCAGAGATACAAAAAGCAGCTGTAAAAGGCGGCCCCGTCCAGGAAACACACAGCCAGGCAGACGAGCTCCGAGGCAGCTCCCATGCCAGAGGACGAAGAGAGCACATCCACTCAGTCACGGTCAGAGAAACAGGACCACACTGGAAAACAGGCCGATCTCCAACATCTATTAACAAGGGTGTTGATAGAAGCAGCACAGCTGATATTTTTTTCCAGGATGACGTCACAGCCAAACAGGAACAGACGAGGCAAAGCTACTCTGAGGAAAAGCAGAGAGAGCAGAAGGTTAGAGATTGAACTAACAGATTCTGCAGAATAGGAGAACAGAGAGAGAATGAAGCAGAATGATGAAATGGGGGTCCCTATGTCCTCCAAAAGTCTAAGCCTATAGCAGCATAACTATAGAGATAGCTCAGGATAACCTGAGCCACCCTAACTATAAGCTTTATCAAAAATGAAAGTTTTAAGCCTAGACTTAAAAGTAGACAGGGTGTCTGCCTCACGGACTAAAACTGGTAGTTGGTTCCACAGGAGAGGAGCCTGATAACTAAAAGATCTGCCTCCCATTCTACTTTTAGAAATTCTAGGAACCACTAGTAAACCTGCAGATTGAGAGCGAAGTGCTCTGTTAGGAACATAAGGAACAATCAGATCTCTGATATAAGATGGAGCTTGGCCATTTAAGGCTTTATATGTGAGAAGGAGGATTTTAAATTCTATTCTTGATTTAACAGGAAGCCAATGAAGAGAAGCCAGGATAGGCGAGATATGATCTCTCTTTTTAATTTTCATTAGAACTCTGGCTGCAGCATTTTGGATCAGCTGAAGGCTTTTAACTACAGTTTGTGGACTTCCTGATAGTAAAGAATTACAATAGTCCAGCCTTGAAGTAACAAATGCATGGACTAGTTTCTCAGCATCACCCCTGGACAGGATATTTCTAATTTTTGCAATGTTCCTCAGATGAAAGAAGGAAATTCTAGAAACCTCTTTGATGTGGGATTTAAATGACAGGTCCTGATCAAAAACAACACCAAGATTTTTTACTTTATTATCTGAAATCAGTTTAATCCCATCCAAATGAAGTGACTGGCTAATCAGTTTCTTTTTCAGAGACTCTGGTCCAAAGACTATAACTTCAGTTTTGTCTGCATTCAGAAGCAGAAAGTTAAGAGTCATCCAGGTTTTTATGTCTTCAAGACATGCCTGTAATCTATGTAATGGGTTAGCTTCATCTGGATTTATAGACAGATATAGCTGGGTATCATCAGCATAACAGTGGAAATTAATCCCATGCTGTCTAATAATTCTACCAATTGGGAGCATGTATAAAGTAAAGAGAATTGGTCCTAGCACTGATCCCTGTGGTACTCCACAGGTAACCTTTGAGCGTGTTGAAGATCTATCATTAACATGAACAAACTGAATTCGATCAGATAGATAAGATTTAAACCAGTCTAGTGCTGTTCCTTTAATTCCAACAAAATATTCAAGTCTTTCTAAAAGAATATTATGGTCAACTGTATCAAATGCAGCACTAAGATCCAACAGGACGAGCACAGATACAAGTCCATTATCTGAGGCCATGAGAATATCATTAGTGACTTTCACCAGAGCTGTTTCAGTGCTATGATGAGCTCTAAAGCCAGACTGAAACTCTTCAAAAAGTTCATTATGGTGGAAGTGATCGCAAACTTGTTTGGCAACTACTTTCTCAAGAATTTTGGATAAGAAAGGAAGATTGGATATAGGTCTATAATTGACCAAGTCATCTGGGTCAAGAGACGGTTTCTTAAGCAGAGGTTTAATTACAGCAACCTTAAAAGCTTTAGGTACATATCCCTGTAACAGAGATAGATTAATCACATCTAAAATGGAGGAGGAGATCAAAGGGAATACCTCCTTAAATAACCTGGTTGGAACTGGATCTAACATACAAGTTGAAGGCTTAGATGAAGACAATAATTTTGCTAATTCAGAGAGTTCAACTGGAACTCTCAAGTTGAAGTATCTCTTTACTCAAGTAAAAGTGAAAAAGTATGTGCTCCAAAAACTCTTGTCTTGTTGGTCTCCGTCTCAATCTCCCGATACGTTCTCGCCTGTGCCCGACCTTTCAGACATTTTAACATCTTTTTCTGCATCCAACATTGTAGCATGGCAGCATGCAGTTTGAAGAACACCTGCTTGTTTCTTACCATTTCCTTCAGCTAACCAATAAGTGTTTGCATTATATGACTCATCCAATTGCACTAGTTTTCTCTAGATGTGGATGGCGCCAGTGATATGCATTGGATGGCGCACATGACAGGAAATAAATATTTATAAACATAAAACCGAAGCCAAGAGGGACCAATAATGTTTGTTTTAAAAATGAAAGGAATAGAAAGTACAGATACTTTAGTGAAAATGTAATGAGTAGAAGTTAGAAGTAGGAAGAAAAATAAGTAATGGAGTAAAGCATAGATACCTAAAAAGTAAGTACAGTGTTTGCACTTTGTTACTTCACACCTCTGCTCTAGAAGAATTGCTCTCAGCCATTTTATAACCAGTAGCACCTTAGGAACTATTAAGCTCTATTTTATGCCCACATCCCCCGTGTTATAACTGCCTAGTTTCCACAGTGTTACTTCTTCAAGAGTTTCCAATTTCTGGTCAAGACCATAAAGTGCTTGAGCACACTATGCCACATATGTGTAACAAGTAATGGAAAAATTAAAAACCATAGATGTAAAAAAAAAAATATTTCTATGGAGCAGAAGCTTACTGGGCTGTAGTCATGGAATTAGTTTTGAAGAACTTCATAGAAATTTAACCTTACTTTACTATTAGATGTTTTATTTATCATATTATCATATCAATAAGCAGTGGATTACCTAATCACACCTCTAAACTAACTATTGATGTAAATAAGTGAGGTGAAAATACAGCACGCTTTGTCTTCTATTGAATTTTGGTGACGTGTCATTGCCCCATACTGGCCTGACATAGTTATTGTAGTTCTTTTTTATTATATCTTCTATTTTGTAAAGATGACCACTGTGGGGAAAATGTTTATAATGTCCTAAAAAAAAGATATAGAATGAATATGATCTAATGTATAGTGTATTAAAGATTTGTTTTTAAAAAATAGTTTTCACAAATTGCCTCTGGAACGTTTTGCTGACAGTGTATTTGTACAATGTAGTACAAATATTGTATGAACAACACTTTTTTTATTTGCTGACATATCAATGTTTTTAGACTAAAGTGCTGACAATCTACAGTATTTTGATGGTTGGTTTGGGGATGTTTTTTTTTTTTTTTAACCTTTATTTTACCAGGAAGTCCCTTGAGATAAAATCTCTTTTTCGAGGGAGACCTGGCCAAGGGGCAGCAGTACAATAAGACATATAAAAACACATAAAAACAACATACCGTAATAAAATCAATCATAAACTAGGAAGGGGAATTATTAGGGTTAACCTGTAACATAGTAAATCGTGTATGAGCTGACTAACTCATTTGTAAATGTCAACTTTCATCTTCTTTTCTGCACTCTGCTTTGTCATAATATCCCTTGTATTAACACTGAGGAGTGTCTCTGCAGTTTACCTGGTGGCCAGTCTACACAGAGAGAAAAACACTTTCTTTTCATTCAAAAACATTTATTTGGAAAAAAATGTTCATAAAAACATTGATTTTTTTTAATGTACATAATTCAGGTTTATTTGCTCCTTTAAATGCAAGATTCATGTTCAGCACAATATAAAAGATAAAAACAACAACAAAAGCATCTAATGAAAAGTAGTTTGATCAAAGTTTAACACATTGATTTGACTGAACATTCAGAGTACTGAGGCTGCGGTCTCCCTCTAAACTGCTGAACCAGCGTTTTTTAAGGAGTATGAAGAAATACCCATATTTCCCAAGATGAAAAAAAAAATTTACCCCTCGACACAAAAATGGATACATTCTCATGAATTCCCTATTAAAACAGCATCAACCTGTGGGATTATGGCATTATGTACAATTTATGCTGCTCTCAGGAATTTACAGCTAAATATAACAAGGCAAGGCAAATTTATTTGTATAGCACAATTCAGTACAAAGACAATGCAAAGTGTTTTACATGATAAAATATAGGAAAATAAAACAGAATCAAAACACATAGGATAAAACAAAATGCAGAAACAAAGAAGAACATTAAAAACAGTTGGACTAAAGAAAATAAAAAAAAAATTGAACCAATGATGTTTCAGTTGAACTGTTTAACTAGAACAGTCGAAGGCAATCCTGAACAAATGTGTTTTTACTCTTGATTTAAAGGAACTCAAGCTTTCTGCACTTTTACAGTTTTCTGGAAGTTTGTTCCAGATAAGTGGAGCATATGAACTAAATGCTGCTTCTCCATGTTTAGTTCTGGTTCTAGGTATGCAGAGCAGGCTGGAGCCAGAAGACCTGAGTGGTCTGGAGGGTTGATACACTGATAGCAAGTCTTTCATTTATTTGGGTGCTAAGCCGTTCAGGGATTTATAGACTAACAGAAGTATGTTAAAGTCTATTCTCTGAGATACAGGGAGCCAGTGTAAGAACTTTAGAACTGGGGTGATGTGCTCTACTTTCTTAGTCTCAGTGAGGAAACGGGCAGAGCAAATACAAAGCAAGATGAAGTGAAATACAATTACATTTAAGCACCTCTGTGAAACATAAAGATATAAATGATATTACTTTGAGAACCTTTTTGGAATTTTTTTTTTTTTTTTTTTTCCAGGTTTTCATATTGAAAAAAACTCTTTCACCCAAACATCCAATCACACCTTTCTTTTAATTTCTGAATAATCTCACACCATGACAGAGTAGGAGGTATTTTCACTTTCTGCAGAAGTTATAGATCCTGTGCTTTTTCTAGATCTTCTCTCCTTTAACCTTTCAATTCCAACCCAGCCTCTCTGTCCAAGTATCTCGTTAAACATTTTCACCAGCTCCCTCCTGAACTTCACACCAACAAAGCCATACAGCAGAGGGTTGAGGGCACAGTGTGAAAGCCCCACACTTTCAGTAATCAGAATTCCAATGTCCAGCACCTGGTTAAAATGACAGCTTGGACTCACCACACCGAGCTTCTGCAGGCTGTCTGCCAGCTGGAAACAGTTGTATGGAGCCCAGCAGATGACAAACACAGATACTAAGGATATGATGAGACGGAGAGACTTGCGTTTTTGACGACGAGAGGCATTGCACAGAGATCTGAAGATCTGGATGTAGCAATAGAGCATGATAAGCAGTGGAAGACCAAAACCCAGGCTGACGCTGACAGACAGCAAGCTAATCTGCCACTGGTTGGCATTCTGAGAGAACCACACCATGCATACATTTTTCCCATCATACGGGTTCTCCACTACCACTCCAAATGCAATGTCAACTCCGCTCAAACCTAGGCACACTATCCAGATGGCTGCACATGCAAACTGAGCATGACAGGTATTACGTTTCCAACCTGACCTCACAGCGTGAACAATGGCCAGGTATCGGTCGAAGCTGATGCACGCCAGGAAGAGAATGCCGCTGTAACGATTCAAGGAGAAAAGAGCCCCTGAGATCTTGCAACCAGCTGTGCCGAACACCCACTGGTAGGCACCCTGCACTGCAAACAGGGGCAGGGTGAAGGCCAGCAGGAGGTCAGAAATGGCCAGGTGAAGGAGGAAGGTGTCCGTTAGAGTGAAGGCACAGGCTCCGCCATTCTGAGAGTTTCTGTAGCGTCTGATCACACACAGCACCATGACATTTCCAATGACAGCAAGGGCAAACACTATGCTGTACACAACGGGGGAGTATTTCTGAGCAAAACCGTAGATATTCTCTACATGGCAGGGGCCAACAATCTCCTCAAGCCCCACCTCGTCGTATCCATACATTTCCTAAAAAGAGAGAACAAGATGCAGGACTATGTAACAAACATCTTGTCAAGGAATATTTTCTATTAAAATAACATGATTTAGCTAAAAAACAAACTAAAACTAGACTGATTGCATAAGGATTGTTGCAGAGTATACTTACAGAATATGCATAGTCAGTTGACGCTGTTGGATCCATGGTTGCAGAAAACAAGGAGACTGCAGAACAACTAAAATCATCCAAGAACACATTCAGCTCACAAAAACATCAGTCAAACCTTTGTGTTCACACTTATCCAAACACCAGTGGATCAGAAAGAAGAAGTGAGAAATTCAGGAACTGAATCTTTGTACACTTGGCCAGATGTGCATGAAGCTATAGTGGGAATAGATGACTGTGCGAAGGAAATTGTGACATATTTTTTAAGATGTCTGCAGAAGGCTACAAAAAACTTCTGCTTAACAACTTTTATGGAAGATGCCCAAAATGCATGAAGGTTTTCTAATAATTTTTCAAGATTTACACATTTTCATTTTACAATAGCAAAAGTGAGAATTTGGAAATGATGAAAAAGCAGAAATAGTTTTAACGAAATAAGAAAAAAAATGATCCCCCTGCAGAAATGAAAGCGCTAGATGGACAGAAACATCAGTCTCACCCCTGCTTGTTTTTAACACTCAGTTGTGATTTTAAATAATAATTCCCACACTATCTGCAGTAATGCTCACATCCATATCTGCATAACATTTCATTTTCAATCTTTGGCAGTTATACTAAATATTAACATTTCAAAAGTATAACATACGAATAAAGAGTTTATAAAAAACTTGCCTACCTTTTGGGATTTTGTAAAGATAAGCGGATGTGACCAGGTGAGATGCAGATGAAGGACAAACTACACTTATTATATTACAGTAATAGCTAAAGAAAAATTGAACAGGATATGAAGTCATTTGCTCTTTAGATAGGTGAGATAAACCAGACCACACAGGGGCACATTAAGATATCACTCTTTTTCAACATATAAGATGACAGTTATGTGGTATAATTCAGCAGAAAAGAAAACAACTATTGAGGAGCATTTTGCAAATTATAAATAAGCACTGCAATAACACGGTTGCATAAGAGTGCACATCCTGTAAGCTACATTTTTCTACACCTCAGTTTCATCATATAGTTCTTCTAGGTCCTTATCTGCCAGAATTATCTTACCAGCAATTTTAATAATCTAGATTTAATTAAATGAGTGCTCAGATCACATGGAGCGATTTTGCATGATTATAAACACATAGCCACATTACAGAGAGTCTAAAGTTTGTAATACTTATTTGTAACTGGACATTTAACACACAGCACAATGCAATATATCCTATAATATAATGACTGTCACTTAAAAAAATAAACATATAGCTTAAATAGGGAAACATCTCTCTTTAACCCATGTTCTTATATCCGTGGATCAATAAAATACAGACTTGAGAGACGATACCTGCTTTTACTAAGAACTAGTAATCACAACATTTCAATGGTAAATGGCTGGTCCTTATATAGTACCTAATAAAGCCCAAGGACTCTACATCACATTCAGTAATTCATCAAGTCATATTCATATTTCTAACCATAGGGACCATGAGGCACACTGGTATAAACAGGCCTTCTGACTACAATCTCTAGGCAGTGTGGGGAACCTGTCTTGCCCAAGGACACCCACTAAGATGGACAAAGTTGGGGTTCAAACCTGCAACACTCTGGTTATGAGACAAATGTCTGCTTCCTGTATCGCTTTAATACCTGAGATTAGGGGAATGATAGTGGGTTCTCTATGAATTTGCAGACATTAACATTTTTTGCCAGTGAAAGGGGAAAAAATGTTGTGAACCTATTGTGTGATAAAAAATTTAAACTAATCAGTCATTAATGACATTCATTACCTTATCTTAAATGTTTTTAACTTTTCTAATTCGCAATGGAAAGTATATTTTGCCCCTATAAAAGAAAAAAGACCTTATAAACATATCCATTTTAATATTGACATCTTGAGAAAGCAAAACTTCCTTGATGTTGCACAACCTACTCTTTACCAGAAGACCCTGGGATAAGATGCAGCGCTTGAAACAGGCATAACCACAAGAGTTATCAGTTCCTCCGAAAGTCAGTGCATATCTTGATTTAAAATAATAATAATTAAAAAAAACTCACTTCCAACTAAACTGTCTTTATCGTAGATTTAACTCTCCTCTTTGCAACATGGTTTCACCAACAGTTAAGTGAGATTTATATTTCAAAATTAAGCATTTATTATACTCCAGAAAGTATATTTAGAGTTGCTGAGTTTAGACAGACGTGCAGACTATGGAGCAGAGATGAGTCACAGTGAACTAGACTCCAGACTTAAGGGTAAAAAAGTATACTTTTCTTTTTTTAATATGCTGGAGTGTGATCTTTTTTTTTCTTTTGTTAACAAGTTCACCGGCTTTCTGAGAAACGGAAGTATCTTGTGGCTTTGCCTGTTCCAAGTAAATTTTGCTTTCTTTAAGGGTGGTCTAGTAAAGCATGTTACAAAAGTTTACATAAAAAGTTTTCAAACTTGGAAAATGTGTTTTAACATGCTGTTCTGTGTTTTATTTTGGACACTAGCGCTTGCAATCTTTTTTTAGTACATTGTTACTAAGCCTTGGTTTAAAGTATTTTTGTCAACAAAAAGGGGGTGTTTAGATTATAAGCAATATTTTCAAAAGGAGAGCATTGTGGCTCTTGTAGGGGGCATTTACTAGAAATTGGCATTGTAAAGTGTAGAGTGAGGAAAATAAGTATTTGAAAACTGCTATTTTGCAAGTTATCCACCTTAGAAATAATGGAGGGGTCTGATATTGTCATAGTAGGTGCATGTCCACTGTGAGAGACATGATCTAAAAAGAAAAAAAAGAAAAAATCACAATGTATGATTTTTTTCACTACATATTTTTATGATCCAGCTGCAAAATAAATATTTGAACACCTGTCTATCAAAGACCTGTTAGTGTGCCTTCAAAATATCCACCTCCACTCCTTTCATTATCCTAAATTAGATGCACCTTTTTGAGGTCGTTAGCTACATTAAGACACCAGTTCAACCTATACAATCTTTTACAATACAATTTCATCATCGCTGGTGATTTTTAACCAGGCTAACTTGAAGACTGTTCTCCCTACAAACATGTGGACTTGCAACTCAGAGTGAAAACATTTTAGACCTGGTTTATTCGAACATCAAAAATGCATTCAGAGCAGCCCCTCACCCCCACCTCGGGTCATCAGATCACCATCTGTCATGCTAATTCCTGCACATACGCCCCAGCTGATCAGGGGTAAACCAACAGTTAAAGAGGTCCGTGTGTGGTCTGAGGGCGCCATGGAGACACTCCAAGACTGTTTTGAATGCTTTGACTGGAACATCTTCAAGGCTGCAGCAACATATGATAACTTGTTAAATATTGATGAGTATGCCTTGACTGTGTCAGCCTACATTTACAAATGCATTGAGGACGTCAGCATCAAAAACAAACATCACCACCCGGGCCAACCAACCACCCTGGATAAATGGAGAGGTTCAGAAATCGCTAAAAGCATGGAATTCAGCTTTCAAGTCTGGTGATAAAGAGGTACTAAGTACAGCGCGTGCCAATTTAAACCGTGCAATCAGATCAGCGAAGCAGAACCACAACCACAACCAGAAGATCCAGGATCTTTTCCACGATAAAAGCAACACCAGGAGGATGTGGAAAGACTACAACCCCCCCCCCCCCCACCTGTAGATAGATCAAAAACTGACTTCCTAAATGAACTGAACACAGGTTTGAGGCACTAAACAACACTCCAGCAGTGAAAGCCGTTCCACACCAGGGGGAGCAGACACTAAAGCTGGACGAAGCTGAAGTGAGGAAAACTCTGAGGAGAGTTAACCAAAGGAAGGCCCCAGGGCCTGATAACATACCTTGGTGGATGAATAAGGAGTGTGCAGATTAGCTGGCTGGTGTCCTCACAGACATTTTTAACACCTCGCTGGACTGATCCGTAGTGCCAGCATGTTTCAAGTCTACCACCATTATTGCCATTGATTTTCTCAGGTGTTCAAATACTTAATAGCAGCTTAATAATACAAATAAATTGTTAAAAAAAATTATACATTGTGATTTCTGGATATTTATTTTTTTTAGATTATGTTTTTCACGGTGGACATGCACCTACAATGACATTTTCAGACTTCTCCATGATTACAAAGTTTGAGAACTTGCAAAATAGCAGGGTGTTCAAATACTTATTTTCCTCACTGTATAATGAATATGCAAAACAATACCAGTCTAAACTTTGAATTGCAAACAAAAAAACAGTGTTCTGCAACATTAAAACACACACTGCAATTGGCTTTTCTCAATGTTACTGTCAGCTTTTTGAGGCCCATTCGCCTGCCTTCATGTAAACACAAGTCACATGTCAGAGAATAATCTTGTGTCCATTGCTTTTACCCTTTCACCTTTCATGGGATTAACAGTAAGAACTCTATCCACATATTTTTTCTTCATCTTGTGCATCTCTACTCTATTCTTGCTTGAAAAACTTTTCTACACTATTAGCAGAATCTTTCTCATGTAAAGTCTTTTGAACCATCTTGCCACTGAAATGTGCTCCCAGAATTTACACAGTGGAAAAAAACAAAAACAAATGAAAATAAAAGAGATGATCAGTCATTTTGATTTCAGTTTCACAAAACACACAATTATGACCAATACCAAATTATAGTCTTACACAACTTGTTGGGTGATTTATACTGTATATTACACCTTTGAAATTGATTTATCTTGTAAAAGGGAAGAATTATAGTATTAGTTCTTAAAGTAAAGTGCTTAATGGAGATTCTGCTTGACTGTGTTGGAAAGAAACGATTTTACTAATAACTTTGTTTAAACAAATCTTATCTAGAAAATGAACCTCACAAATGTGCAGAAGATATATTTAGACCAAAAGTCATGGTAAAAAAACAGTCTGTGGTAATTTAACAGGTGGGTTACTGACCAGATATTTCTATCCATCTAATGTTGTAAAATAAGACACTTTCTATTTAAAGTGACATATTCGTTATTTATCTTTTTTTCAAAATGAAGCTGAAGTTCAATTAATTAAGATATTTAGTATATCTAATATATATAGAGTTATATTATCGAAATAATACATTTGGCCAATTATTTCCTTTTACTTAAGTATGATATTTTAAATATTGTCAGGTCTCTTTGTAGCCACATATTAAGCTTAGATTAAGCAATATAGTTTTGGAGTTTAAATAT